TCTCGTCTCTCCGCAGAGCTTAGAAAGGCAGGGAGTGTCTCCAGAGGTGTTCAGCCAGTTCCAGCTTCCTTCGCATGAGAGCCTGAGGTTTTCGACAGGTGGAGGGAAGAGGGATTCGAGCGAAGCAATCGGTCTTAGGGATCGTGAAGGAATCTTCCAAGAAGCAAATCACTTCGTGCTTGACTCATGCCCGTTTGTCCGGTCTGTTGGTCTTGATGTCAGCAATGGTATGGGGTTTTTGTGGTTGCCCAATCAACTCCCATGCTATATAAAAGACTGCAATCAGTTCCAATTCCAAACGGATGAAAGCAATTTGATTCGAGCATCGAGGGTTGATCAATACGTACCATATTTTTCCAGATCGTTTGATTTCATTCCAGGTGTCCCAGGGGAGGTTGAACCTGTTGAAGCAGAACCCGAGGTCCCGTCTCCTGAAGGTGCGGTCCCGCATTCAGTTGCAGACGACATTCGTGGCGTTGCTCCAGGTGAGGCCTTGCCAAAGGTTCCTGAATCTGAGAAGTTCGTGCGTGAAAGGGAACTTGCCTTGTCCACTAAGCATTGCATGACTCATTTTCCCAAGTCCGCACTGTGTGATGTTTGCAATCGTGCTAGGCTGTACTCAAAACGCATCAGATCCCATCGTAGCGTCGTAGAGCAGATGAGGAGAGTGATCTCCCTGTTCCTGAAGCGTTCGGCCAGCAAGTTGCATGTGATCACATGATCGTCTCTAAATCTTCGTCAGGGAAGGAGTTTGTTGTTCTTGTGGTGATGGACTTGTTCAGCAAAGTTTTCCAAGCATACCCCCTGGCAACAAAAGATACTGATTCGGTCAAGGAAGCCCTGAACCATTTTGTGGGTTTAAAGGCCAAGAATCCTCAAACCATTTGCAAGTCAGACTGTGCCAAGGAGCTTCTGAAAGCCATTCGTTCACTCGGTTGGTTGTCAGACGCATCATTGCCTAGGAGATGGCCTCACAACAGTGTACTTGAAAGACAAATCAGGTCCTTTGAAGAGTCTTGCAGAAGCATGCACTTGCAAGCAGGATTCGCTGTGTTCCCAAAGCTTTGGACCTTGACATGTCATTACACAGCCGTTTCCATGAGCATCGAGCATTGGTCAAAGGCTTTTGGTTCTGAGTTCAAAGGTGCAGACTACATTCTGGGTCAGTTGGTTTTCTATAGAACTAAGTTTCAAGAGAAGTCAAAACTCGCCCCCAATTCTTCACCAGCCCTCATGGGAGGTTGGAAGCTTGAGTTTGGGTGTCGGTACAAAGGTGTTTTGAGACTTGTGGACTATAATTCCCTGAAGCAAGGTCATGTTTCCATTGTGGTCGCCCCAGATCAAGAGGTTTATGTTCGTGATGAGCGTGTGTTTCCTTTGAGAGATCTCGCAGAGAAGGCATTGAATGACTTCTCGGATCCTGATGTTCGTCAACTCGCTGACGTGGATCCTCTGCCAGTCCCTTTCATCGAGGATACCCCAGAGACTAAGTCTAAAGCGCGTAGGGTTTACATCACGTACAGTAGAATGCTGAAAATCGGTCCAACCAAGGGATGCAAAGGTTGTGATGCTGACTCGTCTGCACACAATGCCGAATGCATTGCCCGGTATGAGGAAGCACTCGGTGCTGCTCCTTCGACCCCAGCGCCTGAGCCTCCGACCTTCGAAATGCCGGAGATCCTAGGAGACTTGATTGATGAAGAGTACACCCCAACTGTCTTGTCAGAGGCCGAAGAGGATGAAGAGGAGATTGTCCCAGTATGTCCTCCGCCCTCTGATGAGGAAAATGAACCTGAGGGTGAGGAAGCTCGAGTCCATGCAGGCATTAATGCCGTCCTTGCCATGTCTCATGATGCCATTTCCAGGAAAGCTCCAGAAACGTTCGCGCAAGAAACGTATGCAGCAGCAGTCGCTGCAAGCAATGAAAACTGTCTTGGAGCAGCTGCAAAGCCGGAGCGTCTGCACAGTCAGATCCACAATTCCCCAGGTGGCAAGATTTTGTTTGAATTTGCCTGTGCCTCAGACTCAGCACTCGGTAGGATTGGTGAAGAGCTTGGGATTCAAGTTGTAAGGCTTTGTAGGGAACACATAGATCTTGCAAGTAAGGTGAACATCGACCAACTTGTTGAGCAAGTGAAGGCCATCCCTGGTTGTTCAATCCATGGCTCCATTGAATGTGGTCCCTGGAGTGCTTGGCAAAGGTTGAATGAAGCAAAGAACCCAAGATTGTCCAACATCCTTCGAGAGAAGCGTAGGGAAAGTGTTTCAATGGTGCATTCGTTCATCAGGGTTGCAAACCATGTTCTTGATAATGGTGGTTTTGTGTCTTTTGAGTGGCCGAGGTATTGTTCAGGGTGGATGAGTGAACCCCTGGCTTCCTGGATCACAGAAAGGCAACTGTTGTCTGCCACTTTCGATGGCTGCACCGTAGGTATCACTGCCAAGGACAACAAACCCGCTCGAAAGCCGTGGAGGTTTGTCACAAACAATAAGAGGTTGGCTGATTCTTTGGGAATGCTGAAGTGCACGCATGACAAGCATGCACCCCTTGAAGGGAAGTACACTCGAAATTCAGCTTTCTATCCTGAGCCTCTGTGCCAAATCATGTTGCATGCTTTGTTTCCACATGTCATCAATGCTCATGTGTTTTGCATGCCATGTGCACCTCGTGCTAACCATGCACATCGGCAGCATCGTGTTAAGGGAATGCCATGCGTTCCAATCGATGTGATCATGCACGAAAGCGGTTGCAAAACTTTTGTGACGCCAGCTTATGTCCACCGCTTGTTGGAGCGTGACGAATGGAAGGGCAGAGCAGAAGTGTATGTTGCCATCCAAAGTGAGAAAGACGGATTAGTCTCTGAGGGGACTTGGATTGAGAGCGAGATAAGAGCCAAGGCGGACGTGATTCGTGAATTCCCTGCAGAGACTTTACACTGATGGTCATCGTCAGTGTGAAGGGGTACGAAAAGTCCCCAGCTGACTGGAAACTGAAGGCCCGGATAGTCTTCCGTGGTGACGCGGTCAAAGATCAAGGAGGACTGAGCGCAATTTTTCAAGATTTGGCTTCGTCCGCACCGAGTTCCATCTCGGCCTTGAACACCGTCATCGCATTTTCGATGATCGAGGGAAATAGCTGCACCACGTCTGACTGTGTGCGTGCTTATATACAATCTGCACTCGCCACAACACACAAAACGTTTGTGATGCTACCCCCAGAGCTAGTCCCACCTTCCAAGAGGCACATCCATCAGCCCTGCGCCCAATTGTACAAAAGCCTCTATGGCCATCCAGAGTCGTCTGCGCACTGGCAGGCGCATCTTTCCAGAATCTTGCAAGACAAACTCAATGGTGTCGAGTTTAGCGAGATGCCTTCGGTCTTTCGTTTCGGTCGTTCTTTGATGATGAGCGTCTATGTGGACGACCTCACTCTCTCAGGAAAAGCTTCCGAGCACGAGGGATTCTGGAAAACCCTCAAGCAGTATATAAATTTAGATCCACCGTCAGAATATGGTAGAGTCTTAGGACGAAACCATAGGCTTGTGTGGTTTCAAGGGAGCAAAGCGTTAGCCTTAGAATCATCTGACTTCGCGAGACAGTGCGTTGAACTGTATATGAAGAGCTGGCGAAAACGCCGGTGAAGGCCTATTCCTCGCCCTCATGGGACGATGGAGCCCTAATCCCTGCTGATGACGAGATCAAAGGGCAGCTCTCGCCACATTCGGCCAAATTAATTATGAAGTTGATGTGGCTCTGTCGCATTGGCAGACCAGACGTCACATTTGCTGTCACTCTGTTGGCCAAACACATTACGGTGTGGTCGGCCAACGACGACAAAAGAGTTGCAAGACTCATTGGGTACTTGCAGAAGACCCATGAATACTCCCCGATAATGTGCATTCGTGATCCGCCAGAACAGTTGAACTTGTCTCTGTATTGCGATGCTGATTTCGGTGGTGACATCAAACCCATGCGATCAACCTCTGGATTCATCCTTGCGGTTTCGGGTCCCTCCAGCTTTGCGCCGGTGAGTTGGGGCTCTAAGAGGCAAAGCGTGGTCGAGTTCGTCTCGCTTTCCAGTGCCTTATTCTCCGAGGCTATCCCTACCTTGGAGGTATGGCAAGCGTTGATCCCCGGAATGACCCTGAAGGTTTTCGAAGACAATACGGCCGTGGTCTCGATTGTCCAGAAAGGTTACTCCAATAAATTAAGGCATTTGAGTAAAACCCACCGCATAAATGTGGCCTCGACTGCCGAAACAGTTAACAATGCTGATGACATCACAGTCCAGCATATCGAAACGACTCAGCAGAAGGGCGACGTGTTCACTAAAGGATTGCCGTTGTCTAAATGGGGAAATGCATTGGAGTTGCTGCAGTTCTCCCTGAGTCCGCTCCCGTCCTTTGATGCAGGCAGGAGTTCGCATGACTAAAGCTAAGCAATAGTCTGCCGCAGTTCGATGCTAAGCTTGATCTGCAATGAAGAAATGGTTAGAGCTAAGCAATAACCAGCCGCAGGTTCCAACTAAGTTAGATCCGCCTTGAATGAAAGTCTAGACAATGCATGAAGCTTGCAAGAAGGGTGTTCGGCTGCTTAAAGCGCCGCTCCCTAGGTCCATTCGTAAGCCTGTTGTGCTCGCCGACAGTCTTTCGATAGGAATCGTAAGGTCACAATGAAGCGACTGTCTCAGACCTGTAATTCTAGCTGTACAGTTGTTCATCACACTATGACGGGGGACTTGAAGTTTCCTGTGTACAGTACACCTCATATGTATGCACAGTTCATGAACAACTTGTACTTTTGGCTCAAATGGTAAAATGTGCGCCCGCAGCCGCTGCCTCGTCGCGGTCACGGCGTACTCAACTTGTGTTGACTGTTTGGTTGTTGTTGGGTTGGTTTCCACTTCTAGTATAATATTAGTTTTTAGTTGCTTTATTTTTTCTAAGAGATACGTTCGAATTCTGTATGATTTTCCATGTTGAACTTGTATGAGCTGACAGGCCATCTCAGAAGAACGCTCCCAGAGCTACTTCGAGCGGTTGCTGGAGGTAGCGCCACGCCCTCATTGGACTTGGGGATTTGCCTTTCGGTTATTCCGGCCGGCAGTTGTCTGAACAGAAGTGGAAAAAGTTGTCAATGATTGTAAAGCAGCATGAACCTCTTCAAATTCACTTGAATTGAGGCCTTGGGTGGAACTACGGAATACAAAGGCCGGAGACCCAACCACACCCATCCTGTCCTTGTCCGTATTCCTGCGTTTTGAAAGAGAGCATTCTTTCGCGTGATGCAGATGTCTGCTTACTGTGTCACCCACATATATGCATGTATGAGCTTGAGCTACCAAGGGCACAAGTGTGACACGCAGTACCTGCTGGTACTGCACCGGTGGTTGCACCTGTGACTATGCTTACGGACAGCAGAAACGCGTAGAGAGCCCAGGGTTCAATCGATTATTTACCTGCTGAGACGTGAAAGAAAAACTACTGAGAAGGCGATAAATGCAATGATTGAGCATGCGTGCTGCCCCATGTTTCTTTGAGTATCCGTATCGGAGCCATTTTTGCATTATTTAGGGTCGCCTTTTCCCGTCCCATACCCCAGCCACGATGATGTTGCAGATCTTGGTGCTTTTGACTTTTCTCTCAGGCAGGAAATTGAGGAGTTCGGTTGATTTTGCTGTTAAACATCAGTTTGACTTAAGTAGTCTGTCCCAACAATGAATGACCTTGCAACTTGCGCGGTCTTTTAGCTGGTGGAGGCTCTTCAGCGGATAACTTGAGGGGAGATGCGCACCAGAATGCTACAAACACTACGAACTTGAAGTTGAAAGCTGCGGTGGCAGTCGGCAAATGCGCCTGAGCAACACTTGGTACATTGAGATAAATGGTGGTTTTTAAAAAGGACACGTATGAGAAGGTAAGGGCCCATTTAATGATATCCCCATTTTAAAGTTTTCTTATATCACTCACTCAGTTTCTCAAGACTTGTTATTCTGACCTGGCATCGTGTCCCAGGCACGAAGCAAGATGAAGCAAAGATGACCCTGCTTGGCGGAGGCAGTAAGTGTTGCATGGTGGACGCGGAATGGAGAACAATATAGTTGTGTATATATAGATGTAGATATATACTTTAATCAAATTTAAACTTGGAGAGGCCATGATGCACACAGTTTTCCTGGAAAACTGTCCTCGTGTGGAAAGAAGAACTACAACATCTTCTCCGGCTTCAATCGATCTTCGGCTGCTTTTTTTGCTTCGGGTTCGGATGCTTGACATAGTCACAGCGTAGCGATCACTTGAGGCAACCGATACAACAACTGCGTAGTGAAGGAGACAGGCATTTCCAGTAGCTGCTCCGACTGCTTCGCCATCTCGGCACAGTATGGGGCCAACAATTGCAAGCGACTTTGGCTGTAGAGCTGTAGATCAGCAAAGGATGAAAAAAAGGGAAGCACAAAGAGAAAAACCAGCTGAGAACAAAGGAAAAGGCAGGATTAGGGAACCCGCCTGAACCTCTGAGAAAGCAAGAAGCAGGAAGAGCCTCAAACGTGTGAACAGATAGACTCTTCTCCCTCTGAATGCTTTAAGACGCAGAAGTTACAGTGCCGTTTTTGCATTGATCATGATGACTTGGGGCTTGGCCATTTTGTTGCCACACTCCTTTGATGCCCAGAATGGCAGTGAGAGGTTATATCAACCATTAGCTGTGTATGGACACACCGTACCTGTCTATTCTCTCTTCTTTCTTCCTGTTTGTGTCGCTTATACAGGCAGCCGTATTTGTGCGCATGAATAGGTGCATGATGGTGTAAATGCAACCCGTACTCCATGACAGCCTCAGGTGGAAGTGCTTCTGGGGCTCTTGGTGTGGTAAAGGATGTCTGGATTGCGTTGCTCCACAGCCCCTTGCCATCAAGATTGGAGTGTTTGCGCTTCTCTCAGCTGTGGACCCAGCACCTTGATTCTGATAACTGTTAACTTATTTGATTCCCATGCTACAATGCTACCCTTCGTTTGCTTCCACCGACTTGATTTGCATGGTCCCAAGGAAAAAGTTGGGCCCAGCATGGCCCAGCCTCATCCAAACCTGTACGCAGATTTCAATTTGGACTGCAGTAACATATTCTGAGAAGTCTGGCTCTCACCAAGGACGGTATACGTAAAGCAGTGTGCTGGAACGGACATCGCAGTGCCAGAGACCTCGAACTGCCGCTGAGAAATCCACCTGCAACCTGTAGCTGTGAAATTTTGTGGCTGCAGAAGCCAGCAATTCGTTGCATTCTTAAGTTTCGCAAGGCAAACTGCAGAAGCCAGTGCCTGTCTCTGATAGGTCGACACATCAACGACATCAGCTAGGAAAAAATATGCATGGGGTGAGGTAGTTACGTTCCTCCCTGAGGTGCACCTCCATTTGCTTTTGACTGGGCAAGCTGGCCAAGTGCTCCAGTCTTTCTGTCTCAGGTCACGAATGCAAGCACCCTTCAAGCAGCTCCAGAAGGCATCTCGGAATGCAGTTTGGCCAAGCTCACGGATTGATGATTGATGCACTTGAAAGGGCCTTCAAATCCTGTGATACACTTTGCAAGCTTTTGTCCTGCAGCACGCTGAGCTCAAACAGCAAGTGGACGCAGATTACTGTATTGCCAGAGGTTCTCCAGCGCGATCTATAGTTTCCCCCTTTTGGATGTCGCTGATTTCGTCCGAAATGCTGACCGGTTTGAACCAGATGCAATTGACGTGCTCGCAGCAGCCTGAGCAACAGGTCATTGTATTGGTCCCCGTGGACCAGAA